CAGAGGCTAAAAGTCTAATCTATTAATTTTCTTGTTCGTCTTATTGATTTTTTCTATGCTATACAAACAGTACTATTGAGAGGGAAATACAGATCCCATCAAAGACTGATGGATACTCAGCCTTTTCTGTGGTGTAGCCACACGTATGCGACACTTCCATGTTGGTAACCTGAGGTCACGGTAGACCAGGGGTCCTTGTCACCTTTAGCCACATATTAGAATCACATAGGAGCATTTTAAAACTATAGATGCTCAAACCACACCCCAGGCCATGTAGGTGGTAATCTCAAGGTGTGAGTTCAAGGCATTCATCTTAATGGAAACCTCAGCAGGTGCTTATTAAATGGCAGCAGGATTTAGAGATACTAAATGGACCAGCCCAATTTCCCATCATTTTCTTCCCTTTCCCCATTTCTCTCATGATTGGCTTTGTTCCCAGTGGTCCCATGGATTGTAGCCTTGTCTCTGACAATTTCAGTTCAATCTCTCACTTATCAACTGGGCTGGGCCAAAGCAAACATTGTCCTGTAGACAGATTCTTGTCTGTCATCTTGTGTATGCATAAAGCTGGTCCTGGAGTCACTTTTCTCAAAGTTAATTCGTAAAATGCTCTCTCATATACACTGGCCTCAAGATTAATCAGACTTGCATTTTCGACCCTTCACTGGACTTGTAGAAGTGGAAATGAGAATAAAAAGGAGAGAGGTTGCAATGATGAACCTCATGATGTATGCAGTTTTGAAGTCCTGCCCTGTGCATGTACTTTTGGAGTGATGTCCCTTTAGAATGTCATAAATGTTCTCCAGTTAACGTCAGCTCAAGCGAGTCCATGAGGTGAGAACACTGAGACCCTGACAACCCCATCCACGTTGGCACTAAGCTGCACATCTGGGGCTGAAGACAAACCTGACTCCAGGCCAGTGAGGAACTCCCACCTGTGACCTTGGTTCTAATTTAGTTTCCTAAGTGGGGCTCTTTGTGCTTAGTTTTAACACTGCTCATTCAGAAGAACAAACGATGATTAAGAGTTGACTCAGTTGGGTTGCTCAGAAGAAGACTCAAGAGGAAAATCTATGTGTAAATGATGTATTAAAGCAATGATTTCTGCAGAAAGAGGCAATGGAGTTGGGATGCAGGGAGGAAAGTTAAATTTCCCAAGAGAGAGTGTGATTCCAGGCAAATATTCCTGTGTTCAGCAGCTTAAACTATGCACTTGGATGCGGACAAGGAGGCCTGGCTCTCCTGTGGCCATGAGAGGGACAGTCAAGACACTAGAAGAAGGAATAGAGCAGAGTTCAGAGAGCAAGGAGGACATGGGGACAGAAAGGGCCTGTCAGGGTGGGAGCCCATGGGACACAGAGTTAATACCAGACAGAAGTTACAGCAGCTGTTAGAACAAATGGAAGAGAAAAAGCAGTAGGAGATTGAGCTGTCAATAATAGACAGAGAAATAAGAAGTGAGTGCAGCTATCAGCCATAGATGTGATTACCTCTGCACTCTAGGCTTGCAGGCCAGGGAATCTGCACGCCAGTCTCCACTTGCTGAATGAGAATTTTCGTTTGATGATCTTTGGTTTCAGGACACTGGAGGCGTGAATGTGGCCATTGACTTGACGCCCTTGTGTGTTGTCTGCTGAGCCTTCAAGTGCATCATCTTCCAGCTCGGGAGGGTTCTTCATCCCCAGGGAGGGCTCTAAAACCAGCTCTGAAAATAAAACCACAGCCAATGGGATCCACTGGCACCCACAATCTTACTGTGACTTTCTCTTCCACCCAGTGGACATCAAATCAGGAAAGTGGCCTTGGAGAAGAAAGTCCAAAGGGTGAGGGGAAGCCAATAGAGTCACTTTAATATTTTCTTTTTTCTTGATCTTTCCCACATTACTGAGCAACAGTAAGATTGCCAGGAGTCAAAGGCATTGCCAATTCACAACAATATTCAAG